CATTAAAGAGACTCTAGAAGACCTCGTTTTATCGCGATGGGGAACCCCGAAATTCCTTTTGACCGATAACGGGACGGAGTTTATTAATCGAACGCTGCGGGATTTCGCGGGAGAGCACGGTATTACCCATACCACGGTACCGCCGTAGCACCCACAAGCGAATCCCGTGGGGCGGGTCAATCGAGTTCTAAAAACGATGATCATTTCATACCTGGATCGAGACCAGAGGGAATGGGACGTACATTTGAATGGTTTCCGCTTCGCGCACAACACCGCCCACCATTCGTCTATCGGCGCGTCACCCGCGTTCCTAAACTTAGGTCGTGAGTTGGAGCCCACTCAATCTTTGCGCCGCCGCTGTCAGAACGTTGCCGAGGTAGAGCCGCGCGAACCGGAAAAATGGTCTGACCAAATGAGAGCCATACAATCGTTATACGCGTGGGTTAGAGGGAATTTAGAGCAGGCTTACCAAAAACAGTCAGCGTATTATAATTTAAAGAAGAGAGATAAGACTTTTCGAGTAGGAGAGTTGGCCTTGAAGCGACGGCACACATTATCGTCAGCAGCACAACATATTGCTGCCAAACTATCGCCGAAGTTTCAGGGTCCATATCGAATTGAGAGAGTTGTTTCGCCCGTGATGTGCGAGCTCGCTGCGCTGGATCACACGCCCGTAGTAGGATGTTGTTAAAGACCTGAAGTGTATCGTCTTTCTGAGTGAATGTCGTTCCTTCCCAGGGAAGGATCGACGCAATTGTCGCGATAGAAGAGATACCCGTGTGGCATAGGCGTATAGTTAGGGAATTCCGCTGCTAGCCCGGTGACGGCTGCGCCTCCGGTAAGGGGGGGAGCAGGCGAGCTGGTCCGAAAGTGAGCCCACAGAAAATTTTTTTTCTTATTTTTCGGCCTTAAATGTATTCGGTTGACATATATTAAATAGTTTCTAAATATAATTACTTATCTCCGACCTTATATCTGCAAACAATAGTATAAAACTTTAATGTTATAGAGTTCGCGTAGTTTAAACTGCGAGGTTTTAATTTTTTTCAGTCGGAAAATCAATTTAACTGATTTTAGCAGTTATTTCACTTTTTTAAACAAAAATCAATTTCTAACTATATCATGCACATAACAAACACGATAAACAATAATTAGGATATAGACCGCGTAAGTGATAAACACAATTCAATTGAGAGTGCCTTAATCGGTCGAGGCTGGATCTTGGCACCTAATGATATTTCTATGTAAATCTTAATTCCATATTTCAGTCATTTTAAACTGCGCGCCGAATTAATTTCGTGCTTGTAACGCAATCATAAACCGAAATCGGAATGGTGAGATCTCAATTAAATCGATCTTCAATACGATGCGATT